TGATTACTGGTCTCATTAGAAAAATCTTAATGTTCCAAATGTGACAAAGCATAAAGCTGACTGTCAAACAAGGCCTATAGTCTGTTATACACTTGATTCAAAGCTCTGTTATATAAATTAAAAGTAATAGAATAATTATGAAGTCTATTGAAAATTTACTGTTAGGGACACAGATCAAATTTAGTATATAATAGGAGAAGAAAAAGAAATAATATATGTTATCTGTAGTACTCATACATTTTCAAAGCAATTTCACATTAATTAATAATCATCTTGTTTTTTCTTCTTTTTTTTACTTCTCATGCTTATAATTTTTCTGCTTACCAAGTCCATATACTATTCACAAATAATGCATATCAACCTTCCCATGTACAAAGCCTCACACTTTGCCTTTTTCCTTCTGTGCCAGTGTGTTTTTTCTATAACACCATTTTTACGTTTCTTGGCTACTTTTATTACATATTTACAATAATCCACAGTTCTTTTGCCCTAGAGTTATGTTCAAAGTATAGTCCTTTGTGCCTCGCTTTATCTTTCAATTGAACCCAATCACAAAAACTCTTTGGAGAAAAAGAAAGAGCTTGCCCAACTCTTTTTCCCCTAATCTTACAGTAAATAAAACTGGCTCTAGCCTGAAGAAATGAACAAATTTCAGAAGAATGCCCCCTTTCTCCCTAAACTAGTTTGATGTAAAAATGCTTTGCAAATCATGTTCATCAAGTAATGGAACAAAAGAGACAAATTGACCAAATCACATATTCAGAGTGGCAATAACAGAAAGGACACAAATGTGAACCTCAAGTAAGGTATTCATCCATCTCACTTTTGCCAACTTTAAAATTGGTCTAAACTGTTTAGGTCTTAAGACTGTGTCATTATCTAAAACATATAATGTAAATGTAAGTTTTCTGCATTGTGATAGTTATTATTTCACCAAGACTTAAAATCAAGTAAATGTTATTGAGCTTGCTCTGGGATTTGACATATTCTTATGTTTATTTAGAGTAATATGAAAATGAGAGGCACTATAAATGAATTGTAAAAGAAAGTTGATAAATAGAACCTGCTCCCAGACATCACAATTTCTTTTGTTGTCCCTGACATTCACACTCTTGCTGGCCAGAGTGTGTGGAATTCAGCTGTCCCACTTTGCTAGGGACTCTGCTTTATCAAAACTGGACATGCAGGATCAAGAATTAAAAACATTGTGACAACTTGCTATAAAATTCCACTTTTAGAAATATCTTCAATAGAAATTATCTCAAAAACTGAAAAATTTTATAAGCTCAAATATGTTCACTACAGTAATATTTGTAACAACAAAATCAGAAACAATGTAAACATCTTAAATTAGAGAAGCAGTAGTTTGGGTTACTTCTGTGTTGCTCTAACAGAAAATACCACCAGTGGGATGGCTTTAAAAAACAGGAGTTTATTCTCTTCCAGTTTGGAGGCTTTAAGTACAAGTTCAAAGTGCCAGGCTCAGGGGCTGAGTGAAAGCCTCTCAAACTTGGGCTTCAGCTCTGCCTCCTGCTTCTGACCACTGAAGCTGGAGGCTTTTCTTCACTTAGCTGCTGGCTGCTGGGGCTGACAAACCAAAGGTTGACGAATAAAAGGACACACTTCCAATGTTACCAAACAACACAGCAGGCCACTAATTCAAGTACATTGAAAGTTCCAAGATCAGCAGAGCATGGCAGGGTGCTGAAAAACGACTCAGCTACACACAGGGTGCAAGCATGCCATAAACTAGAGACCCTTCCCAAAGCTGCTTCTTATATATGTGTGGTAGTTAAGGTTGTATGTCAACTTGTCTGGGACTGGTTGAATGGCTGGGCAGCTGGTAGGAGTTATTCCCCATGATGAGACTGGCAATCAACTCCATGGTGGCATCTACCAAAAGCATATGAATAACTCCTTTAGGGATGTGGTCTGCTTCCCATATTTAGGAAGCAGCTTTGGGAATGGTCTCTAGTTTATATAGCATGCTTGAACCCTGCATGTAGCCAAGTCGTTGTTTAGCAGCCTGCCATGTAGTTTGGTAATATCGGGACTGTGCCTTTTTACTTGTCATCCTTGGGCTTGTCACTCTCAGCAGCCAGCACATGTCTGAGTGCAGAAAAGACTCCAGCTCCAGTGGGCTGGGAGCAAGAGGCAGGGCTGAAGCCCAAGATTGAGGGTCTTTCACCCAGCCCCTAGAGCCTGAAACTTTGAACTTGGAATTAAAGCCTCCAAACTATGAGAATAAACTTCTCTTTGTTAAAGCCATCCCATTTGTGGTATATTCTTATTAGAGCAGCACTAGGTAACTGAAACAATATGGGAAGCAGACCACTTCCATAAAGCGTTTAGCTGTTTGTGGTAGATCCCATCATGGAGTTGATTGGCAGTCTCATCTTGGGGAATAACTACCACCAGCTGCACAGCCACTCAACTAGGCCCAGCCAAGTTGACACACAACCTTAACTACCACAGCAGTTAACTAGGAGTCCCTGGGTGGCACAAACAGTTCAGTGCTTGATGACTAGCCAAAACACTTGACAGTCCTAACCCACTCAGGGGTGTCTCAAAAAATAGGCCTAGTGATCTGCCTTAAAAACCCAATAAAGAAGTTCTACTCTGAAAACATAGGGTCTCCAGGAGTTGAAATCAATTCAACAGCAACTAACAACAACCGTTAACTATGAAGCATTCATATACTGCAAAAATGTACATACATTTAAAAATAATATGTTGTAAAGAATTTGTAATAAAGTTTAGAAACAGTCAAAATTGAATGCACAGTTGGGCAATCAGTGTATAAAAATATACATAGAAACAAGGAGGAGAAACCAAAATTTGAAGGATGATTGTCTCTAAGTGGTGGTATTAAAGATATTTTCCTTCTTTTATACTTTTCTGTATCTCATGTACTTTCTGTATTCAGTATGCATTATTTTAAAATGGGCTAGATACTTTATATTTAAAAGGTTTTAAAACTCTAATAGTTAATTTCCTATCAGACTGTTGAGGAGAATTCTACCACATTGCTCAGTATTATGTTCCAGAAACAAGCACATATTTCTCTGTTTTGAAGATGACCTCAGAAAGCTACAGAATTAAATAATAAATAAACATAAGTGCTTCTAACTGCTGAATTCCTATGCATATCACTTCATATGGAGCTCTGGTAGCATAGTGGCTAAGACACTTGCCTGCTAACCAGACGGCTGGCAGTTCAAACCCACCAGCCGCTCCTCGGAAGGGAGGTTGGGCAATTCTACTTCCATAGTGATACTGCCTCGGAAACCCAAGGAGGGGTCGCTATGAGTCGGGTTTGACTTGACGGCACATAACAACAACAACAACAATCACTTCATATTCTAGGCTTGCATCTACCAGGGAGTATAATAATCTCATGACTATAGGATGAAATTTCAAATATATGTATAGAAAGAGAGAGAAAAATGTTATAAAGAGTATGTGTTCCCAATCTTACATATTCCTTACCTCCAAACTATTGCTCTATCTGTGCAGGGCATCAGTAAACAAACCAACTACCTGATATATTAACTTAATAATTTAGCATTCTGTCTGATTTCACTTATACATACACCTTTTGTTTAGAGGAGCATTGTGAATGTCATGATTTATGAACTTTAACAGCTAGAAGAAAGCTTAGAGAATAAAATATTCGTTTATTTAACAGATAAGGAAACCCAGGACAAGGGAGAGGCAGTACTCATTCAGGGTGAGAAGCAAGGCAGGAATCACATCAAATGCTCTTTTTCCAGAGAGTTCTCTGGATGGCTGAAAAGGCCATTAAGGCCAAATGCTATCATTAGGATGATCAGAGTACACAGGCCTACCTCCCTAGTGAGAGGAGGATGGCAGAGAGAATGCTGCTGAGTTCAGTTCTGCTGGACAGAGTTCTGGCTGAAGGCTCAGGTCTGCACTTAGGCAGACCTGGACTATAATCCTGATACCATTATTTACCAATGACAGGAGTTGGGAGAATCACAAGCCTCTCTCTGTATTTCCCTCTCTGTACATGGCCTGGGAAGGTCAGAAGAGCAGAAATGCCCAGCAAACAGAAAAACATTGACATGGTAGTATCCTCCTTCCTCATCAGTGAGAAAAAGGTTTTCTGTGGCTGAGCCACTGCATTCTCTGAAACTCTTCATGATTGACGCAGGGCAGAGCCAATTCTAACAGAACAAATGCCTGGCTACTTTCATCATATTCTCCTAAAATTTAATTTTTTGTAATTGTACCCCAACTTCAAGTTATAAGCCTTTTGATTAGCTGGAATATTTCAGGGGGTGGGAGGTGGGTAGAGAAGGAACATCATGCCAGATAAAAACATTTATCCGGAATGCCAGTTATCATTAGTTTTATGAAAGGTTAGAATTGGTACCCTAATACTAAAGGCCAATATAAAGGAGGTTAATGACAAAGATAATGCGAGAATCTCAGAAGTGTCCTTGAGATCTTCAGTCATATGTGCTTTCTGGTTTCTAAGTCTGCATTCGGATGGAACCATGATTACAAGTTCAAGGCTCCTGGGTCAATCTAGCACCACTGTCAGTCCTTTTCAATATTATGTAGTATAGACTTTGCCTAAAGGGAAATTCCACCATAATGGAACCAGAGAGGGCATGACAATATTGAACACCATCTTACCTAATAAGCAAATCCTTTATGCATGGGAACTCCTGAATCTTAACTTTAACCTGAGTAGCAGGAAACACAGCTGACTCTCAAACCATGTTCTGCACCTATTTCTGAGAACATGGTCTGCCTCTGGTCTCTGATTCACTGGAAAGACCTCACACTAGGAGAAGCCTTACTCAAGAAGAACATGCCAGGAAGAGAAGGACTCTGATTTATAATAAATTGAAGGGAATAGAACTGCAAACGTGGAAAGAGAGGGCTTGTTGTGTAGCATACTGCTCTGAAAAGGTTTTAAAAGGTATTTGTGTGCCTAAAATAATAAAATAAAAGTATAGATATTAACTCACCCAAAGTGACTGGCGAAGTTCATGGAAATACAAAAGAGAAGGAGGTTTTTGATCATGATAAAGCTAGAGACTATTCCATTGTCCATTTCCAATGAAAATAACAGCTGAGGCAGATGAATTTGGAAGAACAACTGTCTCTTTCTCCAACTTGATCTTGAAGCTGAAAGGTACACAAAAGGGAACTGCATATGAGCATAAGTGCTGTCATATCACAATTCCTAGAAAAAAAAAAATCTTATTGCTAATGCTCCAGAATTTATGAAGAAAGGGTACCTGGCTGTCATTCCCCAGTCAGAGCTCCAAAATCAAGAATTGTGTGTTCACTGGGCAGCAAATTGTGGCAGGAAAGAAGTTATAATCTCCATGTTTACTTAGAGTGCATTCTTCCACCTTTTTTTTCCCCTCACATACTGTGTTTTACTTTGTTGTTGTTGTTATGTGCCGTCAAGTCAGCCCTGACTCATAGCGACCCCTCCTTGGGTTTCCGAGGCAGTATCACTACGGAAGTAGGATTGCCCAACCTTCCTTCCGAGGAGTGGCTGGTGGGTTTGAACCGCCAGCTGTCTGGTTAGCAGGCAAGTGTCTTAGCCACTATACTACCAGAACTCCCGTGTGTTTTACTTTAGTGTATGTTATTAAATAGGGACCCTCGTGGCGTAGTGCCTAAGGCATTTGACTGCTAACCATAAGGCTGGCAGTTCAAACCCACCAGCCACTCCTCGGAAGGAAGATTGGGCAATCTACTTCTGTACTGATACCGCTTCGGAAACGCAAGGAGGGGTTGCTATGAGTTCGAACTGACTTGATGGAAGTGCTTTTGGTTTGGTTTTTATGTTATTAAATGACCCATTATTATATTTGAAGAAAGGTCAGAGTTACCTGAGTATTTGTACCTGTCAAATCCACAAGTGAAATAATTTTACCTTTCTGAAATATTTGCCATGTGTTCAATGCCAGCAACCTACTCCTTGTTCTGTAAGATACTGAAAGTATGTGGGAATGGCACATTTAAGAATCACATCTGCCACTGGTTCACAAAAATGTAATAATTGTCACCACTTTCTCAGATATCTGCCACTATGACTAAATAATGTAACAGTCACTGCATTTTACTGCGTGACTGAAATCTCCCAGTTAGGTGCCAGTCCCTAATTAATTATGGGCAATCTTTGTCCCTGCACTTTGGAACTAATCTTGCCTTAGTAAAAGCTCCTATTCTCCAGTATCCATTAAGTAACTCATGATACACGGACATACAATGTTCGAAATAAGCATTTTTCCAAGGAGCTCCAGGCAAAAACGCACCACAGGTACATCAGCCTCGGAGACGACTCCTGTCAAACTAGCGAGCGGACATGCGGTGGGTCGCCGGGATTCTGGACAGCAAGCACACCGAGCCAGACATCGGAAGCCGCCGGGCGGCGCCTCACACCTTCTGTCAGCCCTGCTCCCGGGCCCGCCAAAGAGAGATCCTCAGGATCCCAAACCTAAGTGCGGTGTGTGTGGGCGCGGGAGGGGCACTGCGTAACCGCAGCCTCGGCTACTCGCCGCCTGGGACCCCTGCAGGTCCGTCCTCGTGTGCTGTAGCTGCTGCCAGGCCGAACGCTCAGTTCCCGGTCTCTCCCCTGCCAGCTCCCCGCCCTCGATCACTTCCCAGCACCCGGCCCCAGGTCCCAGCCAAGCATCCACCCGGCAGCTCTTGAGACTAGAGCAGTTCCGCCAGTAAACATCCACGACTCACAAACACCACGCCAGGGGCGCCTTCAGGGTCTCAGTGTCCCCGTTCTGGCTACTAGCGGCGGCAGCGATGTCCACTCCCGCCCCGTGACTTCCAAGCCAGCCTCTTGGTGGACGCTTCACCCGGGGCCTCCAGCACAGGCCGCACCCTGTACAGCAGGGCTACGCTGCTCTGGGCGCCCCTGACCTTCCAGCCCGGCGTTTCGCCCAGCAGCATCTTAGCGAAGTTTGCGCTCCCGCCAGGACGACGGCCCAGCCGTGGTCTCCGCCTCCCTTCTCCTCCCGGCAGCCTGCGGCTCAGATACCCGGAAGAGAGTGTGCAGCCGAAGCCTGGGAAAGCCTGCTTTCCCTCTCCCCTTCCCTAGCTTCCTGCCTTACATTCCAGCCCCGCGCACCAGGGGCTTACCTGGTGCACCAGCCCCAGGAGGAGAGGGGTCGGCAAAGAGGCATCCTTCTCGTCCTCCTCCTTGCACTGGGCTGGCAAGAGCCAAGAGCTGGTGCGGCATCACTGCCCCATTCTGCCAGCACGAACTTCCCGGTGCTCCTTGCCGGGCACAACCGTAGCCTCGTGTTCCCCGCTCTCCTTCTGCCGCCCTGCGGCTCTGCTGTGCACCTCTCCTAGGGCCGCACCGCCTCCCCGCCGCAGAACCCCCGTGCGCCCGCGCTCTCTCGCTCTCTGGCTCTCTTGCTCTTTCCCTCCCTCGCTCTCTCCCTCTCTCCCTCTCTTGCTCTCTCGCGTGCACTCTCTCTCACCTCGCCCAAGCGCCACATGTTGTCCTCTGGGTTTGAGACCCACTCCTTTGCAGATGCTCCCTGGCAAAAGCCACCAAGCCTTAGCTACTCGTTCCCCAGGTGGAGCTCCTTGGAGAAGGCGGGCTCAGGGCCAGCAGGTGGCCCTGGTTCAGGACAGGCTTTATTTCTGCTGAAGTTTTTTGAGGGCGTTTAGACACGCATTCGATGCCTCTTGTAACAACCACAAGAGTAAAGTTACCAGAGATGGAAAGGAAGTTACAGCAGTCAGGATCAAGGGGGGCCCTGTACTGGGAGCTGTCTCCTCTTCAGTGGCCAGTCCAAGTGCCTCCCTCTCCTGACCTCTGCCTTTCCTCAGTTTCTCAGGGCTTGTCTCTCATATTCTATTCAGAAAGGAACTAGCTTGTGAACATCTTTATTATTATTATTATTATTTGGTAATTGCTAAGAGGTGAGAGTGGGAAGAGAGTAAAATTGGATTAAATTAGAATTTAATTCTAATTGGAGTATTATTTTGGGATTTTCTGAAGATCATTTCTTAATGAGAGATCACCTTATCAATAGCAAGGAGAGAAGAGTTCTGCAGATGTGAGCTGGTCTAGTGCAGAGGCAGGAGCTCCCTGGACCTGGCCAAGGATCACTACTTCCACTGTCCATCAACACAATGACATGTTGTTATTGTCATTTTATTGTGATCATGCCTGTGTCTAGTCTCAACTGTGCAGTTCCAGCGGGGTGATGGTGGCACTAGTGAAAACTGTCCAATATCCCCTTCCTCAGATTAAAGTGAATGCAAAGCAGAAATAGGGCCCCATCAAAAAGCACAAACAAGATGGCTGCAAAAGCAAGCAAATTCCTTACTTTCAAGATGGCAGTATCTTGTTTCATCAGGAGGTGGATGGATGTTTTGGACAGTGAGAACATTCAGTGAAAAGAGTTCACAATTTAAGAACAAGCCACTAAAGACATGGGACTTATGCTGTTATTCCATGTGTTTTGAGAAAATACATTATTTGTTCTCACTTTTAAGAGAATAATTGAGAAAAAAAAAAATCTAACTCTACTCCAGATATAAAAGTGTTTAATTTTCCTGTGAGTGAATTAAGTGTCTCAATTCTTCACTTACGGCAGATACTCTGTATTCCAAATCCAAAAAACCTACTGGTGCTTTTGCATTTTCCAAAAATTCTGTAACACTGCAATGGGAAATTGTGAGTATATTCAAGTAACAAAACATAATGATACATACTTGTCATTAATATATAGAAAGTTATTCCAAATACACATTTAGTAAGAGTATGCAATAATTCTGATTCTGGTAGTCTTGTATAATAGAAAATATAATCATTTGAAAGGTTTTTCCAATTATAAAATGGATAACCAGATTTCATAATATATATTTTACTTTTTAGATTTTGGAATTCTAAGGTTAGAAATAGCACTGCTGCTCCTCTTCTCAGTATAATGCAAATCAAAAAAGTTCAAATAACTAGTGAGTTTATAGCTTTACTGATTGTCACACAAAGTCATTCTTTTTTGCAAAACAAAAAAATGTAGATGGACAAGAGATTACATTTGTATTAGAGTTATGTATATTAATTCTTGACAATAATTCCTATAAACTCACTCTCATTGAGTCGATTCCAACTCATGGCAACCTTTGGCTTTCTGAGGCGGTAAATCTTTATGGAAGTAGATTGGCCCATCTTCCTTCCATGGAGCAGCTGATGGGTCTGAAACACCAACCTTCTGGTTAGGAGTCAAATGATTTAGACACTGCCTAAAGTACCAGAGGGAGCTCTGGTGGCATAACGCCTAAGGTATTTGACTGCTAACTAGAAGGCTGGCGATTCAAATCCACCAGCCACACCTCGAAAGGAAGATTGGGCAATCTATTTCCATAGACATACTGCCTTGGAAACCCAGGGAGGGCTTGCTATGAGTCGGATCTGTCTCGATAGCAGTGAGTTTGATTTGAGTTTTTGAAAGCACTGTTGTTGTTGCTGCTGTTATGTGCCATGGAGTCAGACCCGAATCACAACAACCCCTCCTTGGGTTTCCGAGGCAGTATCACTACAGAAGTAGATTGCCCCATCTTCTTTCCGAGGAGTGGCTGGTGTGTTTGAACCACCAGCCTTCTGGTTAGCAGTCAAGTGCCTTAGGCACTACCCTACCAGAGCTCCTTAGTAATACCTACATGATTAAATAATAAAATGTCAACTATAAAGGAATTAATGTTCTTTTTATGCATTTTGTTTAAATTATCTGTGGTTTTTGTAAGTTTTCTATCAGCTCAATTTCAATGCATGTGCGTGTGGTTGAATATATGAAAATTATCTTTTAAGTAAGATCCATTCTTTAAAACTGTATTTCAGTAGGTTGTTGCACATATCTACCTATGTTGTGGAATGGTAGTCCAGTCTCTCCTCCTAATATTTATGTAACATAAACCCATGACCTTTTGATTAGTGACTGAGCACTTTAACCACTGCACTACTAGGGCTTTAAGGTTTGCAGTATATATGTAACTTATTATATATGTGTGGTAGTTAAGGTTATGTGTCACTTTGTCGGGGCCTGGTTTTGAATGGCTGGGCAGCTGGATGTGTATGAGTTGGAGACAACTCAATGGCACCTAACAACAACAGACTCATGCCAGCTAGACCTGAGTGGAGAGTGAAATAATAAGGCATGCTAGAAACTTAGAAAGCCTCATAGTTTTAGAAGAATATTTATTAGCCATTTCCATAATGTTTATTTTAATAAGTAATTCAATGCTTACCTTGCTCTATCAGTTGAATTCTCATTTGCCATTAGTATTTCCCCCCTTATGGAATGAAATAAAGCAAAGAATGCAGTAGAGGGCACCCTAGTTCCACATAACCTTAGTGCTGGCCCCATCTTCATAAGAATTGAGTTTCCAGCAGAAGAGCCTAAAATAGCTGAAATTGAAAAGCTAAGCTCCAATCGAGTACTTGCCCACAGATCTCCCATTCTGCACACCACTCTAGAGCAGAGGGCAAAAAGGGTGGCAGTGTTTGTGTGGGTAGGTGTAATAAAAGTGACTAAAAGATGAAAAGCAGTGTCATCTTGAGGAAGTGGAGCCTTGTATGCTAAGATGTTGAATAGAGTATGTTCTAAACTCAGAGGCCACAAATAAAGAGTAAAGCATGTTCAAGGAACTGTGTGAGATTTTGTATTTGTAAAGAATAAAGTACAAGGTAAAGGTAGCAAGAAGTAAGATGAAACAGGTAGGCAGAAGAAAACTTGCAAAGCAGAGCCAAGGAGTTAGCATCCTCCTGGAATCAAGAAGGAACTATGATATAGGAAATAATTACTCTGGCAACTACATAGAGAGAAAACCTTGGAATGAGGCAAACCCAGGCTAAAAGCATATATGAACATCCAGGCCTAACATACAGACAGCACATCACAGAAGTTTAATAAATAATGGAGTTATTTCATTAAATGGAATGATGAACTTCTGCTCACACGTATTCTAAGCAGACAGATAAGTGTTTTGACCCAACAGAGTCAAGAGGGTCTTCTTGGTTGTTAATGGGAGGAAAAGGTCAAATCTGACTGGAAGAAAAGGGAAATTTCCTAGGAAAAGGTGGCAATTGATTTGGAATCTGAAAAAGAACACAAACAGAAGAATACTAAAAAGCAAAGGGAAGACTGGGAACAAAGGTAGGATAGGCTCAATAAGTAATAAATGTTTTCTTTAAAAAGCACACTTTAAATTTTAATTCTTATAGATTTATTTTTCACATTATTTAAATTGGAGCTATCAAATTAATTACCTGAAGGCTACATACAGACTACAGATTTGTTTTAATTCAAGAGAAAGATATGACAGTCTGCTTCCATGGAGACTGACTTGGCAATCATGTGGTGCAGTTCTACTTGTCTTGCAGGGTTGCTATGAGTTGGAATTAGCTCAGTGGCAATGGGTTAATTTTAAAACAAATTAGAGACTGTTTTAAAATCAGAAGATTTCACATTTATAAATGAATGGATGAATGAATCTAATTTGTTAGCTTATTTAAAAAGAAAAAATAAAAGCTGATTTAGCAACACAGGGCCTATATCACACTATTGTCCCACTCCCTCCACTCTGCTCCATACCACTTATAATTTGCATGACCTCTTGTATAATCTGTTCTTTCTTATATTTGGTGTGCTCACTTCATTTATGTTACCTGGAAAATAGAGACAACTGAAGTTTTAAAAAGATCTTTAAATTTCTTTCTGATTATATTTTATCTTCATTATTGGTTTATTATTTATATACTTTTGTGGTTCTGTTTCATTGTTTGTTTTTAGTAATTGCTCTAGGGTTTAACCCACTGCCAATATAAGACAGAATAGAATTGCCCCCATATGATTTCTAAAGCTATAAATCTTCATGGAAACAGACTTCCACATCTTTTTTACTTTATTTTGCTGTATCTTTCTACTGTAGAGCAGTGGGTAGATTTGAACCACTGATTTTTTTTGTGAGCAAACAAGCACCTTAAACACTGCACTATCAGGGCTCTAGGGTTTATAGTATATGTAACTTATTAACTAACTTTATAATATACGTATGTGTGGTAGTTAAGGTTATATGTCACTTTGGCTGGGCCTGGTTTTGAATGGCTGGGCAGCTGGATGTAGTATTCCCTATGATGAGACTAGTAATCAACTCCATAGTGGAATCTACTATGAGCAGCAGCATAGCTGCTTTAGGGAGTTGGTCTGCTTCCAGTATATAAGGAGAAGTTTTAGGAATGGTCTGCAGCTTTTGGCATACTTGAACCCTGCATGTAACTGAGTTGTTGTTCAGCAGCCTGTCATGGTGTCTACCAATCTTGGGACTCTTAATGGATTTGAATCAGTGGTCTGCCATGTGGTTTGGTAACATCAGGACTATGACTTTTTACTTGTTAATCTTGGGTTTGTCAGCCTCAACATACAGATTAATTGAATAAATATAATGAAAGAATATAACCCGGACACACTCCCTTCTTGATTTTGAACCATGCAGTATCCCCTTGTTCTGTTCAAAT